AGCTTGACTATGTATTACCAAAGCCAGAGTATTAGATTTGTTAATCCCATTTCTAGATGTCTATCACAGTAATTCATTGTCTGTTTGTCTGAGACACACACACACACACACACACACACTACATAGAAAGCAACCCTAAATATCAGAGGCTAGAGGAGATTAGGCAAAATGTGGAATACTTACTGAATAGGATCTTATGAAATCATTCACTAATTTTAGAGATTACAGTGATATGTAATTACAATGTTAATTGATAAAAGCATAATTCAAAATTATACATACTTTATTTAGTCAACATGTATTGAAGACATATCCTAGGCTGTTTTGGTTATTGAGTCAAAATCTTTGCCCTCGTGAAAATAAGCATAATGGCATTAAAGGCAACACTTAAAAATACACAAAAACCAACCATTTGGATGGAAGGAAATACCATAGGCAATTTTTTTCACTTAACAATTTTTCTGTAATGGCATATAGTCTTTAGAACTCAAAGATCTGAGAAAATTTAAAACAAAGGCAAGGAATTTAGCTTACCTTTCGAGGTTAGATGACTCCTTCGAAGTCTTACGACTTGTCTGAAACAGTGGGAAAGACCAAAGCAACCTATTAATATCTGTATTGAACAGTCTCTAAGCCGATGACTTGAAAAGCCGTAAGCCCTCCCTACTGATACCTTGCTCATTTCTGCCCAGGTCTGCAGAAATCCTTTAAATAGTTCACTGTTATCATCTTGATTTTCAGGAGTCATTTCGAAAGGCCCAGTAGGCAGCAAAGTCTATTATAAAAAAATGAGAAGAAAAAAAGAAAACCAGCCCATTAGTGGGTCAAGAAATCATTTCACGCAACACAGCTAGCATCTGTCGTAGCACATGACAATGAAATAGAAAACACGAACACCTAAGGTACAATTTTTGGGCTCTCTGTCGAGGAAAAGAATGATGATGCAAACAGAAGGAACATGGAAACCATGAGTCCAATGGACCACATGAGCAGCAATCCTCACGACCCTGAGGCCAGAAGTAGACCAGCTGCTCTAATGAAATTCTTAGCACAGCCAAGACTGAGTCCCTCACACAATCTTCAGGTATAAAACTGAATTCACCCATGGCTAAGTTTTCAGCCAAGCAATTTCACTGTTATCCAGTCAATTCTGCCTCGCAGAGACCCTATGGTACAGAGACTGTCCCTGTCGCTTCCTGAAGCTATTAAGTCTTCATTAGAGCAGAAAGATCCATCGTTTGCCCTTGGATCAACTGGTAGTTTCAAACTGCTGACTTTGGGGTTAATGGTCCCAAGTATAGCTCACTAAGCTACCAGGTTCCTCCAGCCAAGCAACAGACAGGTCTGTAAGGGGAACAGTACAGTATGTACACCTTAAAAGAGTCAACTATTTGAGATCAAAAGGGCAACATGCACCCAAGGACAAAGTTCAGAAGGGCCAGGAAAGAAGCAGGGATGGAAACAGAAGCCCTGGGAGGAAATGGGATAACTGATGCTACACTGTGGGGACCGCAATCAATGGGATGTAACAAAATGTATATAAACTACTTAATAGATAACTGTTCATTTGCTATGTGAACCTTCGCCCAGTTCCCAATAAAAAATAAAAGAGAAATTACCAAAGTGCATCATTTGAAGACTAAGCTTTGCTTCACAAGTTTGGTTTCAATTGTGTGGGTAATGGTAGCAATGTGTGTGCCATGAAACCTAAGAGCCAGAACTTGATGTACCTGCCCCGTTTCCTCAGGTCTCACAAGTTTCCCCCCTTTGACACAGCACAGTCTTATTTTCCTATCACTCAATTTAGTGCTAAATATTTGAATTTTCCTACGCAGGCAAGTTTCTACCTTAGACGGATTATGTTTTACACAGGTTTTATTGTGTTCTCACTGTAAGCCAAAGCTTAAAAAAACCTGAAAGCTACTCTTCCGTGCATCTTTCCATAATACTGTAATTTGCAATTAGTTCCCAAAGCACCAGCCTAATTAGTGCCATCTTCCAATTTGTAATTAAGCACTTAGACATAAAATATAAAAACCAGCAGTGGGCCGAACGCCACCAAGATGGTGTTCAGGCGCTTCGTGGAGGTTGGCCGGGTGGCCTACATCTCCTTTGGACCTCATGCCGGGAAACTGGTCGCGATTGTAGATGTGATCGATCAGAACCGGGCTTTGGTTGGTGGCCCTTGCACTCAAGTAAGGAGGCAGGCCATGCCTTTCAAATGCATGCAGCTCACCGACTTCATCCTCAAGTTCCCACACAGTGCCCGACAGAAGTATGTCCGACAAGCCTGGCAGAAGGCGGATATCAATACAAAATGGGCAGCCACAAGATGGGCCAAAAAGATTGAAGCCAGAGAAAAGAAAGCCAAGATGACAGATTTTGATCGTTTTAAAGTCATGAAGGCAAAGAAAATGAGGAACCGGCTAATAAAATATGAAGTTAAGAAGCTTCAAAGGGCGGCTCTCCTAAAGGCTTCTCCCAAAAAAGCAAGTGCTGCAAAGGGAGCGGCTGCTGCTGCTGCAAAGGTTCCAGTTAAGAAGGGGGCTGCTGCTGCCGCCACCGCCGGCAAGAAGGCTCCTGCCCAGAAGGAGAAAGCTCCTGCTCAAAAAGAGAAGGCTCCCGCCCAGAAGGAGAAAGCTGCAGGTCAGAAGGCTGGGCCTCCGAAAGCCCAGAAAGCTCCAGCCCAGAAAACACCTGCCCCAAAGGCAACTGGCAAGAAAGCATAACACGCTGTTATAAAAAGTAATAAAGTTTCTATTGGCCAAGCTGAAAAAAAAAAACACAAAAAAAAACCAGCAGTGCTTTTGATGGTTACCAGAGATGAGCGGAACAAGAGGAACCCACTTTCTAAACAGTAGGCCCTTAGTATTTCTGGTGATGGGAAAAGCAATGTCCAATATAGGTGAGATGTATACACTTTACCAAGAAGTACACAGGCAAGAGATAATTCTGGTAAATGCTGTAACATATACAATTTTGCGAGTCATAGGTCAAAAACATGTGTGGCTACAAAGGTATGTATGATTGTGTGTATGTGCATCGGACGGCATATGTGAGTAAATGCACATGCAGCATATGTGAGTAAATGCACATGTCTGTAGGCATGTGTTCGTGTGAGCAGCATGTATTTCCAAACTAGCCAAAAGCAAAGACGGCAAGGAGAAGAAAGGAGATTAGAGGACTGGAAACCAAACAAAGAGAATGGAAATGAGGAGAAGGCTGACACACGGTGACATGACAGCCAATGGATTTCATGGAACGATCTGTATCAAACTATAAAATGAGGACAGCGTTTACCATTTAAAGTTTCACCTAACGTGTTTTTTAAAGTGCTCTTGAATTAAAATTGAATTATAATCTCTTGTGCTACATAAAACTTTCTACTAATATGAAATGAAACTACAGCAAGCTTCCCATCACTTTACCTCCTATTTCTTAATAACTGCTAGTACGAAGTCCTTAGCATAATACAGGACATTTTACAGCTATTTCATTGGATTCTCTGAGATTTATATTACTTGTTGCCATTTTAAAGATGGGGAGACCAAAGCTCAAAGAGGTTGATTTACCCACAACCGCACTGCAGGTAAGCCCAGCAGAAATAATAAAATTGAACCTTGGTCTTTACGATTTTGAAATTACATTCTTACCTTAACTATATAACCTTCGAAAATTAATGAACTGAAAACTAAACAAAAAAAATTTAATAAACTTTCAGTCCAGCTTCAAGTATAATCTCGATTATTTTATTAATACGTGTATTTTACTTTTTCTTACATTTTCTTCTTCTAATGCTGATTGGGTGTCAGCTGCTACTGCTGAAACTCCTGGAGGGTCTACTTTGAGCAGTCGCATTGACCTTCTACAGCCAATCTCAATTTCTCTCTTCTTAGGCTTCTTTCTAAAGTGGGGAAAAAGCAAAACTCATCGTCATAAAAGTGAAATGTATTTACGCATATTGCGGCATTAGTGTCTAGGAATGTATCCCACAAACACATTTGTACACGTGCACCCAGCCACATATAATGTAATAAAGTCTAGAAACCTGGATGCTCCTCATGGGCAAGTGAAGGTGTTAAATTATGGCACATACAGATAAGAGAACAACGTGCAGCCATAAAAAGTAAAAATGAAAGTAGATCTTTACGTGCTAAGTCAAAATCAAGGTCCAGAACCACCTGTGCCCACATCCATCACTTTTTGTTTGTTTTTTAAAAAAAACATATTCACTCATACATGCTGGAAACCCCTGCGGAAGAATATGTGAAACTATCACCAATGGCTTCTTCATCTAGGGTAAAAATCTAGGAAATCAAAGTCGAGGAGGGGAAGGAGACACTTTATTGCATGACCTTTCTTTTTTCTTTTTTAAATCATACATATATCCCTATTTTTTAATGTGCTTTTTGTTTTTCACTTAAAAAAAAGTCAAAAACATTGGGAAGCTTAAACTGTTTGCTTTTACTTTTTTTATATAAATCATTTTATTGGGGGCTCTTACAGCTCTTTTAACAATCCATAATTATATCAAGCATATTTGTACATACGTTGTCATCATTTCCAAAACATTTTCTTTCACTTGAGCCGTGCTATCAGCTCCTCTCCCTCCCAACCCCCCCAACCCTCGTGAACCCTTGATAATTTACAAATTATGTTTATTTCATATTTTACACCATCCACTGTCTCCATTACCCATTTCTATGTTTGTCCCCCGGGGGTGGCAGGCTTGGGGGGAGATTGTGTGTAGATCACTGCTATAGGTTCCCTTTCTCCCCACACTTCCCCCTACTATCATGCCATCACTACTTTCATTTATTAGTCCTGAGTTGGTTTTACTTCTTGTGCTCCATGCAGTTCCCCAGTTAAAACCACATCAAGCCTTAATAAATCTCTCATTTTTAATTTTTATCATTGGGAGCTTAGATATTGTAAGATTCCAGAGTTCAATCATATCAAGCAGTATTGTACAATTGCTACCCGTTAGTTCCAAAATATTTTCTTTCTTCTTGAACTCCTTGATATCAGCTCCCCTTTAATCCCCTCCCCCCAGGAATCTATTTTAAAAGTAAAAAAGCCTCTCAACTACTGTATACAGTTTTAAAACCAGATCCCTTGCAAATTTCACACCCTAGCAGCTCTAGAGTAGAATTGTCTCATAGGGTTCTCAAGGCTCTTTATGAAAGCAAATAGACCCACCTTTTCCCATGGACTAGCTGGTGGGTTTGAACTGCCACCCTTTTGGCAAGTAGCTCTACACTTAACTCACAGTGCCACCAGGGCTTCTTACTGTCCACATTAGTTCAGAAGAATGAGTAGCATCTATTTTTTTAACTTCTTACTATGAATTCTGGGCCATGGTGGCATAGCCTCAGGCTGTTAACCACAAGGTCAGCAGTTTGAAACCACCAGCCACTCCAAGGGAGAGAGGAGTCGTTCTTTTTTTAAATCATTTTATGGGGTGACTCGTACAACTCATCACAATCCATACATACATCCATTGTGTCAAGCACATTTGTACATTTGTTGCCATCATCGTTCTCAAAACATTTGCTTTCCACTTGAGCCCTTAGCATCAGCTCATTTTTTCTCCTCCCTTCCCCGCCCCCGGTGCATTGATGCCTGCAAAGAAGGCTTTCTACTCCTGTAAACAGTTAGTCTTAGAAACCCACAGGGGCCAGCCAGTTCTACCCTGTCCTACAGGGTTGCTATGAGTCTGCATTGACTCTATGGCATTAGGTTTGGGTTTTTTATTATTGTGTATTAATCAAAGGTTTATAGACCAAGTGATCAGTTTTACATTCAACAGTTCATACATTTTGTGTAAACTCATGCATTTCAATGCCCTCAACCTACCATCACTTATCCATCCCACTTCCTCCCTTTTTGTTTTCATTTCTGCTTCTTTGTTAACCCTCTGTACTTTGTTCTTAGGAAAATGCTGCCCTCCTACTCTTAAACAGCTGATTCTTCTAACATGAGAATGAATTCAGTTCCAAACCTGAAGGGTGACTAAGGACCATACTCTGGGGAGGTTCCACCAGTCTGTGCAAAAAGCCTGATCTCTTTGATTTGAGGTTTTGTTCCACATTTTTCTCCCACTCTATGCAGGACCTTTCAGAGCAGCTGGTAATCTTAGCTGGACACCATCTGGTCTCAGGGCCATGGAGACTGATGTTTGCTTGGTCCATTAGTTCACTGGACTGATTGTGTCCGTATGGCCTTCGAATTTCATCATTTCTTTCCTCCAGATGGGACCGCCCACAGTTGCCCCTTAGATGGCTGTTCACAAGGAAGATAAAGAATACTGTCTTTGTGAATTGTTTTGCCAGTTTACCTTGGTGTCCAAGACTAAGAGCTATATATATATATATTTTTTCTTTTTTCTTTGTTCTTGAAAGCCAAGTGGCTGCACCATTCCTGGAAGTACTGCAATACCAGGATGATGCGTGGGGTGGATAGAGCAAGCTCCTAGTCCAACTACTTGCAAAAATACATTTAATATGTTGTCCTCAGATAGAGGACGTGTCAGATATTAAACTGATAAGAACAGATACGACACTTGATCTTAGCCAAAAGGCCGAGAAAGGGTAAGACCTATGATTTATTTACAGTATTCGACTATGCACTACATTATGCTCTACTGCACACCCTGATTGACTCATCCCTTCCCTGTGATGAGGCTCTATCTTGACAAGAGCAGATCTTTGGTCTTTTCACCCTTGCAGTCACTGGTAGGTTCCAAGTGCCAACCTTCTGCTTGGCGGCTAAGTGCTTAATCATTGTGCCACCAGGGTTCCTCTTTCAACTATACAAATATGTGCTACGTACTCCTTCTGTAGATGTAATTTATTTAATAGTTTAAAGAAAACAATATCCCTTTGGATTAGCATAACACCCATTGTATAAATGAGGAAAGAGACTGATATTTAAGGATTAACAACACAGTTGCAAGTAGCTGAGTTCAAACTTGGATTCAAGGTTGTCAAGTTACAACAGCTGTGCTCTTTCCTCTATATCATATTAGTAGCATAACTCTCTGCACTAAGTACAGAAAACCAATCAATCTTGGCTAATAAACATATGCAAATAAAAAACTGGCACCAGGACTAGTGCTACTATTTTTCCACTATTAGTGACATCCCTTTCACACTCATAAATACATGGTCATGATTACAGGTTTAGCTTTTTTCAGGCTAACTGACCCATAATAGAATCAAACCCAACAGTTGAGCTAGTGACATTGAAAATTTTAGTTTCTTCATTTGTACATAAACACTGTTAAAATGCAATGGAAAAAAATCAAGCTAAGAGGGAATTACATCTAGACATGAGAATCATGCCCTGATTGATGGCCTTTGGGAGGCTCCTGGACCAATCTTGTAAGCTCCTCTGTCTACCACAATGTACATAGCCCAATCATGGCCCCATTCCTGCTCCAGTAACCCACCTATAACTATGTTTCGATCTGCTGCATATCATACATATGTGAATTTTCCTTGACCTCCCATCCTTTCTAAAGTGTTGTATATCAACAAACCCTCGGACACCATTATAACCCTGTGGCAATGGTTTCCCCAGCTGGATAGTATGCTCTTATCTGGATATGTCCCAAACCACAGTCAGCAATTTGAAACCACCAGCGGCTCTGCCAGAGAAAGATGAAGCTTCCTACTGCTGTCAAGAGTTAGTCTCAAAAAAAAAAAGTTAGTCTCTGAAACCAACAGGGGCAGTAGCATCCTGTCCTGCAGGGTCACTATGAGTTGGAACTGGCTTCGTAGCAGTGAGTTTTAGTTTTGTCCTGTTTAGGACCATAATAATTATTGACTGGCTTCGTAGCACTGAGTTTTAGTTTTGTCCTGTTTAGGACCATAATAATTATTATATTTAAAATAAAAATAAAAAATTTAAGAGGCAACTGACTGAATAGACATGGGGGTTGGACAGATGTGGGAGAGAGGAGAGTATACTTGATAGAGGATATTTCAAATGTGTATTTACCTTTGCTGCAGATATATCCATGAATGTAGTAGAGCATACAGTGGGCAAAATTATGAAAACATCTTAGACATAACTAAACAACTTGAGCTAATGAGTCATTGGATCTGGGGACTTGAGAACATACTCTCAGGGGGTTATCAAGGTCAACTGGCATAGTTGTCCACAAAGTTGTCCACAAAGACAACATTCTACATACTACTTTGGGAAGCAGGATCTGGGGTGGTAAAAAGCTCATGAGCAGTCCTCTAAGGTGCAATTAATGGTTTCTCCCAGTCCAGAGGAAAGAAGAGTGACAAAACCCGCAAACACAAGAAAATAATTAATCCAACTGACTATGCAAGTTTCAGTCTCCACAAGATGGCGTCCAGCTACTACTACCAACTGCTCTGAACAGGATCACATTAGAAGGTCTTAGATATAGGGTAGAAGAAAAATGTGGAGTGAAACGGAAAATCATAAAAAAGACCAGACTCACCATCAGATAAGAATCCCAATGGTACGAGGAGGAAGAGGGCTAAGTGATGCTACATTGTAGGGAGTACAGTCAATGCCATGGAGCTCTATGAATATGAATTATTAAACAGAAAATTACCTGCTCTGTGAGCTGCCACCCAATTCACAATACAAAATAAAAACTCAGGGGAAAAAAATTAAGTGGTAGAAATAAAGATTTCCCTCCAAGTAACAGAACGGTAAATATAAACAAAACTCAGCTCTAGAGATTCCTTTATGAGAATTCCTACATTCCTTTATGAGAACTGTAAAGTTAAAAAGAAATTCAAAAAGTTTGTGGGAAAACAGAATGAAAAGATAATGGAATTTTCTCACCAACACTTTGAAGCCCCCTTGTACTAAAAAGTAACTTTCCCTCATAAGATCCCAGAGATTTAACTGCAGTGTCTGCACTGTTCATGAGTCTATTATACTAAAACATTTTTAAGTTACAAACAGCTCAGAAATATATCAAGGCCCAAGCACTACAAATCAGGTCTCTTACCTCTTGGATTCAGGTTGTCTCTTCTCTATTATTTCACGGAGTCTAGCTGCTGACTGCAACATATAAAACATGCTATTTTATAGTGACACAGCTTACATTTTAAAATATTAAATATCTACTACTATACATGCACTAAACTAAAATAGAATACCTGCTTTTGGTAGTAGATGTCTATGTTAAGCATACATTTTCCCACGAACTTTGTGAAGCCCTCTTTTACTATCAACAAGGTAAGTATATAATACTATCGAATACGCTAATATTCGGGTACCTTGAAACAAGTTGCTAATGAGTTTACAGGATTAAATATGCTATTTAGTTATATAAACTACTATGAACTAAAAGGTTTAAGTTCTAATACAAGCTAACCTACTTTATTTCCCAAAAAGCGTTAGGTTACTCTTGCAGAAATCACTCATATCCGCTGAATTAAAATCCAAATTAGAAATATTTTATCAAATTTTCTGATGGATTTTCAATTGTTAATGACAACAATTTAGTTCAAGTAACTCACCCTACTTCTCTCCATCCCCGAGATATAAACACTTTTTTGAGAAGCTGCCCTTCAGAGAAATTACCTCATAAAGTCCTAAGGGTTTGGGATTTCTGGAGACAAGGAGGAAGGGGCCCCTCCTAAACCACATACAAATGATAACATTACTTATAATGATTATCCAACATTAGCATGTATCTGGCAATTTATTCTTAAAGCTCTCTATAGAAACACTCTTCCCATTTATTCCAAGGGTGAAGATTTAACAAAAGAAAAAGGCTGCCCTGCACCCCACTCCTCCATTGCACTTCCTTGAACTCAACATGTTTTCCTTTATCTGTTGTCCGTCCCCCAGGGAGGAGGTCACATATAGTTCCTTGTAATCGTTCCCTCTTTCCAACCCACTCTCCCTCTACCCTCCCTGTTTCGCCACTCACACCACTGGTCCTGTAGGGCTCATCCGCCCTGGATTCTCTGTATTTTCAGTTCCTATCTGTGCCAGTGTACCTCCTCTGGGCTAGGCAGACTTGCAAGGTTGAATTGGAGTCATGGTAGTGGGAGCGGGGAGGTTTTCCTTTATCTTCTAGTTAAAGCAACCCCATTTCTTTGAATCCAAGGCAACCAACCAAAAGATGTTATTTTATGTATCACCAAGAACAGGAGGCAAAGGACTGCAATTATACTTTTAAGATGTCAACTTCAGAAATATTAAATATGGGGGTGGGGGTGGGAAGGCCTTTGAATCTACAATGAGCAAAACTTACTCTAATTTTGGCCTTCCTCATCTGACAATATTATTAATGATCTATGTGGGAAGAGAAATAGCTTCTTGGTTTTACCTCAGACAACTGAAGAGAAGCAAAAAAGTTCGCATTTTCTGATATGTTCTTTAGCCTCTTCCTTTCGTACGGTGACAATTCTGAGAAATCATCCTATAAAGTCATACATACCAGAAAAATGTGTTACTAGGCATAACCCTTGGCAAAAGCACGTCACAAAACCAGGGCTTTAATTCTCTAAGGAAACACTGCACTTCAAATCTTCAAATCCCACCCCCCTTCTCCATTCCATGGTGTCTTACCAAACAGCACATAATTTTGCTATTTAAGAGAGAGAACATCTGAATATGGGATCATCACAAGGTATTTGTATAGTATTTAAATTAAGAAGTGATCTGGAATTAGAAGTTTAGTATAACCTAATTAGAAGAAAATTAGTCCTAGGAGCCATTCATTGTACAATTAATGAAAACGTTGGTTGATACATTGAAGAAGGAAACAACTGGTTGCTTTCTGAAAGTCGCATTCTCATTAAACAAGAATGATTTCCATTAAACATGGGAGAGCAAATAAACGCAGTTGTCTCTACTTCCTCCTAAAAATCCAATATGACTCAAAAAGGGGGGGAAATGCTCACTGCCATTGAACTGACTGACCTTCCGCACCCTTTGAGGTAGAATCCAAGTGCTACATTACATAGTGAATCTTTACAGGAACCGACAGCCCCTCTCTCCCACTGAGTAGCTGGTAGATTCCAACTAAGCTTGTGGTTAGTCATCCAGTTTTTAATCCACTGCACCAACAAAGTTCCTTCATTAATATGACAGTAAACTAATAAAAAATATCCCCAGATATCAAAGAGGTGTTGTATTCATGGAACAAAAAACAGGACACTACCATACAAGAAAATGCAAATAACACAAAGACTTCAATAACAGAAATCTTTTTTTTAAAATCATTTTATTGGGAGCTCTTACAGACATTATAACAATCCATAATTAGATCAAGCATAATTGTACAATTACTGCCACCATCATTATAAAAATATTTACTTTCTTCTTGAACTCTTTGGTATCAGCTCTCCTTTATTTCCTCCCTCTCCATCCTACTACCCCCCTGGAACCCTTAGAGAGACAGAGAGAGAGAGAGAGAGAGAGAGAGAGTGTATATGGGGTTTTTTTGTTGTACACAATGTATCTGTTCACCTCTACAGTTATACAGTCATCATTGCTATCAGTCCCTGCCCCCTCTCTTCCCATACCTTCAAGGAATCATTACTATTTCTGAAGGGCTTATCTATCTTGGATTTCATGCAATGAACGATTTTAATTATACATATGAACATACACAGGTCTAACAAGATTAATAAAGCAAAGCCAAGACCATAATAGTAGTAGGAGGAAATATTAAAGAACTAGAGGATGGTTATGTTTCATTCGTGCTATACTGTACCCTGAATATATCATCCCTTCCACAAGGCCCTTTTGAGAGGGACTGTCCAATTGTCTTACAGCTGGGTTTTGGGTCTCCACTTTGTCTATGTTCCTTCATGTCAATTTGATTGCTTTTTGAACTTCTGATACCTCTTCCCATGGACACCTGATGATCACACAGGCTGGTAGGCTTTGTTGCTTCCCTGTTAGATGGCCGCTTGGTTAACTTCAAGCCTTTGAGACCCCAAGCCTTTGAGACGCCATACACTGTATCTTTTAAAAGCCGGGCATCATCAGCTTTCTTTACCACATTTGCTTATGAATCCATTTTGTCTTCTGCAATCTTACCAGTTAAGTGAATGTCATACACTGCCACATTATTAGAACCGTAAAATTTAAGTAGAGGCCCAAAGTCCATCTGCCCCCTTATTGTTTATCTTTACATATTCACATATATACATATCTATATTTATACCTATATATATAATTTTTAATTTCTTTTTCCTTTCCTCCTGCCCCACCATCATGTTTATTCATCATTCACCTCTCAGTAATTCCTCTTGGATACATTTCAATTGATCAAACATGACCAGGAACATTACACCCTCCTCACAGTCAATTTTAGAACTTATTTTTCATTAAAGGGTTCAGGAAACTTAGAAAGCATTAAAAGAGAGAAGCATGGGGTGGGGAGGGCCAAAAAAATATAGAGAATCGATCTTGGAGATCCAAATCATAGCTAGTTGTCTCACAGCCAACAAGTTCATCTGTATTCATAGTAACCACTGTATATGAATGGAAACTCTGGAGGGTGAGGACCTAGCTATTGTATTTTAAAAGCCCTCTTGGTAATGCAGAATTAGGCTAATGTATGAACTTAACTCTCACAGTAGAAGTGATTTGCCTAAAGGCACAAATTTCCTTGCCCAGGAGCCTTTCAAACCCACCAGCCACTCCCAGGGAGAAAGGCTGTCTGTCTGCTCCTTAATGATTTAGTCTTGCAAATCCTATGCTGAAACCCACAAATTGAAAAACCAAGAGTTGGAATTGACTTGAAAGCACTTGAGTGTTTTGGCCTCACCCTACATCCTGGTTCTTAGCTCTGGGGCAATAAAACATAAGTCTAATACCCTACAGTAAGTGCTTCTCAGGTTATCTTCTTTATTGTGTTATTTGTTCCCTTTTTGCAGTTTAAGGGAAGTATTACCCAGTACATTAACACAATGTGTTATCCCAGCCATCAAGGGTGATTCAAATGCCCTTTGTCCCAAAAGTTGAGCAAGGCACTAAAAAAGAATGTGCAAACCCAAAAATACATGCAGTGAAGGACAAATATTCATATACAGACATATACGTAAATATATACATATTGCCTGAAGAAAAAAGGTTTATGCAATAGACTAAGGAGTAAAGGGAAGCACAATGAAGATTTTGTCACTTCTGTCCTTGACACCTCATAACCAAGTACAACATTAATATCCAAGGTATTCATTCAAATTTTTAAAATTATTTTTCAATGAAACTTAGATAAAATAACCTGAGTTAAAGAGACTCCAGTCTGATAGCCTTAGGTTAGCAGGATTTCCATTTCTGAAACCACAAACCCTATAATAAGCTACTAAGGAAATTCTTACCAGGTGAGATGGGACATCTTCATCACTCTCTCCATCTTCACTGAGAACTGCTGCATCAGAAGTGCTCTTGCACTGTGACTTTTTACTATCAGAATAAACATCTAAGGGTGTTAAGTGCAGCGTGGATCCTGCCCCATTAGATGTGGTTTCCATCTTCAGGGTTAAAATCCCTCGGCAAGTTTTCTTTATCTCCATCTTCTTACCCAACATGACATTGCTAGACTTCTCCTCTTCTAATACGGATTTGGGGCACTTAAACTGGTCTAGCTTGTCATTACTGAGGGAAAAGGTAGCAAGGTGCTTCTTAATGGTTTTTTCTAAAAGTGTTCTTGGTATTGGTCTCAGAACGACGTAAGGGGTGTTTTGATTTTCTTTATACTCAAGTACCTAGTCAGATCAAGAAGAAAATCGAGTATTAGAATCTCAGATCTTAAGGTTTTTCTCACAGTGTCCCCAACAGATGTCTGTAAACAAATCTAATTTAGGATTCAACAGAAATCCAAAGTGACAGTCTATAAGGGAAACCTCCAAAATCTAGCTCTCTCATTCATTAAACTCAATGGAATTTCGGTGTTTATTCGGTATTTATTATACAGGACACATGTCTCGTCCATACGAGTTTGCCACGCTCAGCTTATAACTTATGAGACTCCCCCAGTAAAATTTGCTGCAAAAGCAAATGAGGGGCCTGTCCAAGGAGTCCCTAACACGAGCCTGCTACTACCCTATTTCAAAGGTTCTTGATTTTAAAAAAAAGATTTTTTTTTAAATCTCCCTCCACGCAAGAGACCTAGTTTTCCACAGAGGAAAACCACAGCAGGAATCCCCGTTTGTTTGTTTCTAAGCAACACCCCCGACAAGCCCAGCAAACGGCGTGAAGTCCGAGGGGGCAAGAGTCCCGAGTACCGAAGGGCCCCGTGCCTTCCCGGGTCTGCGTCGGGCAGAACCTTCCAGCGGTCCCTCAGACCGGGTCCGAACACCGGCGTGTCACCTGGTTTCTCACGCTCACCTGGAGACTGCGTCTGGAAGCCGCTTTCCCCACCGCCGCGGAGCAGGGGTCGGACATGTTGCCACAGCGCAGCAGCCTGCGCCTTCCCGCCCAGACGCGGCGAGAGTTGGGGGCGGGGCCTCTCTGGGGGGCGGGGCCAGGGGCGGGGTGGGGAGCGAGAGGCGGAACTCCCAGCCGCGCGCGCAGCAGGCCCGCGGGGGCGTGCACTTACGCGTGCAGTTACGCGTGGTCTTAAAACAGACGGGACCCTTCCCCTCCCCCCAGCGTGCAAAGTCTTTGCAGCTGCGCTAATTGTGGCGGAAACCATATGTGTACCTTGGAGTCGCTGATTCTTTTCTTTTTTTTTTTAATGTTCGTGGTGCCGGAATCTCACTTTCAGAAACAACTGGCGTTTCTCTACTGCGGGAAACCCACCTTGCCTTGCGATGAGAGTGTGGAAAACATTCAGACCCCGTTCGATTTGGGACAGACTGGAGGGGAAAAGGAGTAGAAATCAGCATGCAGCCTCTATTTCTGCCTCACGTGGTTCCTGCTAACGGTCCAACCCCCCTACCAGAGATTTATGCCCTAATGCTACTTTGGCATCTTCCTAGGAAGGGAAGTATTTTCAATTTTTTCCCCAAGTGCTGACAAGCTGGGTTAAATTTCACCTGGCCATCTGCCCAGCTGTGAACTAAGATCCTAATGATAACATTAAATGGCCTTAAGCCTGGCACAAACAGATTGTGTATCACAAAATAACCAGATGTTTTTAGCACATCCTATTTCCTATGGTCACAGCCTCACTAAACCTTTTTTCTAGTCTCTGAATTACCATGAGTCCAAACAATTGCCTTCCCATCAGATTCACTCCTGAACAGCATAATTGAGCTGACAAACTCAGTAAAATAGTCTATTATATCTTAAGAGGAACGCTTAAACACTGGGCTGGAAAGCCAAAGGATGGCCATTTGAGTCACTAACCACTGCAAAAAAAAAGTGCCATTCCACTGTGGTCAAAGTTTACAACCTTGTAAACCCCATAGGGAGAAATTCTAAGTCTAAGCTTGCTTTCTAGCCCCAACTGTTCTCTTGGGTGGTCACTTGGTCCTAACTGGTCCTTGTTTGGCGATCACCCTTCAAGACATTACTCATATTGTTCCCTCTCCCTCATCACATCAATTATAAAGTCCTTTCTTGGGTCAAGTTTTCGACTGCCAATTAAAAAAGAAACAAAACTCACTGCCATCAAATCGATGCCAGCTCATAGTGAGCCTATAGGACCGGGTAGAACTGCCCATGAGTTTCCGAGCCTGTGACTACTGGAGTGGAAAGCCCCAACCTTTCCCCTGACTTCAACTAGGAGGCCAACTTCAATTACATGACCCCAACTAGAAAATAGGGACTGCTCTGTTGTGATTGTGGGAGTCCTTAAAGACTTCCTAAATAGAATTCAAGCTTGAGAACATAAGCCTTTCATCAAGTCTCCATATTCTTTAGAGTGCTGAACTGGGTGAACACTGCAAGGGAGAAAAGGTTGCAAAGTGCCTCATGTCAGATTAGAACTGAGCTCCTCAAGGTTTTCAGTAATTGATTTTTCATTAGATCGCCAGGCCTTTCTTTCGAGGATCTCTTGGCTAGTCTTGAAAATCCAAATCTTTGGGTTAGTAGCTGAGCATGTCCACTGCTTGTACATGGACTCCAAACAGCCAACCATTCAACTTTGTCAGATCAACCTAAAAATACTTTCCAATAAAAAATGTACTTCCATAAATTAACTACAACTGAATTATTAGATTATAGGGACCAACACAGGTCTCTTGGGGGAGTTTTTATCTATTTCTTACTATGGGCTTAAATCACTTCCCCCCTGCACTTGTACGCCATCGCCCATCCTGGCCTCATCAATTGAGCTACACAGAAATTTCTATTCAGAGCCAACCCTAATCCTTCTGGGTTTTCAACAATACAAAAGATCTTAACTATTTTCCCAGTTTCTGACTCATCACTAAACCATTCCACGGACTTTAAACCAAACGAACAGAGGAAACTTTAATTCGGACCTCCGTCGCCGCGGGGCTTTAAGAGCAATTTCCCGCCAGAAGCGGGCTCTAAATCCTGCGAGAACGAGGACGGGACCGCAGCCTTCGGGCATGCGCAGTAACCGACTCAGCCGTCCGTCCTCCAACTTCCCACAATCCTCTCGACGCAGATTTCCTGTTTGTCTATCTCTGGCTGGTGTTTCTCTTTGTCGCGCAGCTGTCTCCAGTGCATCGGGGACCGAAGCATTTTTTCTGTTTGCTGACGCTGTCGGTCACGGTTTGGAATCATTCACGTTTAAGGAGTCGCCGCCACTGCCTTCAACATGTCGGTCCCAAGCGCACTCATGAAACAACCACCTATTCAGTCGACGGCGGGGGCCGTCCCAGTCCGCAATGAGAAAGGTACCGTTCTGATTCCCTTGACGGCCGCATTTTCCCTCTTCCTGCCCCAACGTCTTACAAACATGCCCTGGCCGACCGCCCCAACCTCTCCTCCTTTCGACCCCTAACACCTGACCCCCGATTTGTCCCACCCTAAACTCCCACCCGACCGTTTTGCCTAGGGGACGGAACTTGGGAAGCTACTTGCCGTCTGGTTTCGCTCCTGTGGCTTTTGTGCGCTCGCCTAACAGAACCCTGCGTCCCCTTACCTCCAAGAATTCGCTCTTTGCAGGAATTTAGGCGGTTGTAGTCTTGTTCTTCATAGCAGTGTTTAAGCTTCTATAAATCATCAGCTTAGTTATCTCCCCTGCTTCTTGAGACAGGAGCAGTATCTTCAACTTTTTAGCCCTTCAACCAAGCTAGTGACTGACTGTGGTTATTAAGTCGAATACAGAATTGTGTAAGACAGTGCCCATAAGCATTAGGAACTCAATTCTAGTTCTTGTCTTGAGGTAAAGCGTGCAAAAAGGCACATTCTAAGTAGTATGCAGCTAGCCTTTCAGCCCTAGGGTACCTGTTATACCTGGTATAAGGTGAGCCTTTTAGGAAGGCACAGAAAGAAATCACAGATGGGGTAATCAGAGACAACATTTTGTTTTAGACACTTTGTTTTCAGGGAAAGCTTTTTGAAAAAGGTTGGATTTGGAGGAGCAAGTGACCCAAAATTAGTGGCAAGGAGGGTGTGAGAGGTGTGGTAGGGATTCAGTAAGGGCAATGTAAGCGAGAGAAATTACTGAAACCCAAATGAAGGCTGAGCATGACAGTGGGACAAGAGGAAATAGAGGAAGGAACTAGGAGACAAAGGGTATAGAGGTCTAAATACAGGCATGCACATATGTAAGTATATTTATATAGGTTGGTGGGGAAATAGATCTATGTGCGTATATTTATAGGTTTAGTATTAAAGCAGCAGATGGACATTGGACCTCCACTCAAATACTTGCTGAGTGCAAGAACACTCTGTTCTATTAAATTGCCATTCCATGATGCACAACTTCCCAACACAATCGCTCAAGACAAATGTGTGTGCATAAGCAAATGTGAAGAAAGCTGAGGGTGCCGGGCTATCAGAAGATATAGCATCTGGGTTCTTAAAGGCTTGAAGATAAACAAGCTCAGAAGCAACAAAGCCCACATGGAAGAAGCACACCAGCCTGTGTGACCGACCACGAAGTGTCAAAGGCATCAGGTATCAGGGATCAAAGAACAAAAAAATCATCATTGTAAATGAGGGTGAGTGCAGAGTGGAGACCCCAAGGCCATCTGTAGGCAACTGGACACCCCCTTACTGAAGGGTTGCGGGGAGGAAACTAGCCAGTCAGGGTGCAGGGTAGCAATGATGAAACATACAACTTTCCTCTAGTTCTTAAATGCCTTGCTTCCTCCCCCCACTAACATGATCCCAGTTCTACCCTACAAATCTGGCTAGACCAGAGGATGTACACTGGTACATATAGGAACTGGAAACAGGGAATCCAGGACAGATGACCCCTTCAGGACCAGTGGTGAGAGTAGCAATGATGGGAGGGTGAAGGAGAGGTGGGGGAGAACGGGGGAACCAATTACAAGAATCTACATATAACCTCCTCCCTGGGGGATGGACAACAGAAAAGTGGGTGAAGGGAGATGTCGGACAGTGTAAGATATGACAAAATAATAATTATGAATTATGGAGGGTTCATAAGGGAAGGGGGAGCGGGGAGGGAGGAGGAAAAGTGAAGAGCTGATATTAGGGGCTCAAGTAGAAAGCAAATGTTTTGATAAGAACGATGGCAACAAATGTACAGATGTGCTTGACACAATGAATGTATGGATTGTGATAAGAATTGTATGAGTCCCCAATAAAATTTTTTTTTTTTTTAAGAAAAAGGTTGGATTTAAGTTGAGTCATAAAGTATGGATATAATTACAATGCGTACAAATGGAAGAAGAAACATGGCAGTCAAGTTTTTCCAATAAAGATGTTGGAATATACTTCTTTTTTTGTTTGTTTTAAAAAGATACGGTACTTATGCCTTAGATGGCAGTGGGGTTTTTGTTGTTTGTGTTTTTTATGACTTAAAGAAAACGTGGCTTTTGAGAATTATAATTAAACCAGTTAATCTATTCCCTCTTGAGGGACAATTGTTTTGTTTTGTTTTCCTCCTATTGCAAACAATGCAGCAGATATCCTTTTTAAATATATCGCTTTAGAATACTCGTGAGAAGTTTAGTAGAGCAGACTTAAAATTTCTTCATCAACTTTATTACCTATTTCTAAATTGTTTTACAGAGTCAGTTGTTAGAATATGAGTATTTACCTGTACATAGTTATTATAATCAGATTTTTAAATTTGTACCCAATCTGACAAGTGTGAGACAGTATCTCATTTTAATGTACATTTCCTTGATTCCCGGTGCGTCCCAGGCTAAGCATCTTGTTCTTGTGTTTATTGGCTTTCTGGGTTTTCTCTTGTTCCTTGTTACTTGTTCCTCTTCTTTGCCCCTTTTCTATTTGGTTGTATCTTTTACATTCCAAACCTGCGATGTATTTTCCTCTATTTTTTTTAATTAAATACTTGTAAGAGCCCCCAATAAAACTATTATCATAATCCATGCATTCATCCATTGTGTCAAGCACTTTGTACATATGTTGCCATCATCATTTTCAAAGCATTTTCTTTCTACTTGAGCCCTTGATATCAGTTCTTCATTTCTCCCTCCCCTCTCCCATCCTCCCTGCCTCATGAGCCCTTGATAAATTATGTTATTATTTTCATTTCTTACATCAGCCACTGTCTCCCTTCACCCACTTTTCTGTTGCTCATCCCCCTGGGAGGGGGTTATATGTTGATCCTTTCTCCCCCTCCCCCCCACCTTCCCCTTCCCCTCCTGGTATCTCTCTTCTCATTATTAGTTCCTAGGGGTTTATCTGTCCAGGATTCTTGTGTTGCGAGCTCTTCTCTGTAGCAGTGTACATATTCTGGTCTAGTCAGATTTGTAAGGTAGAATTGGGGTCATAATAGTGGGGGGAGGAAGCATTAAAGAACTAGAGGAAAGTTCCATGTTTCTTTGGTGCTATACTGTACCCTGATTGACCTCCTCTCTTCCTTGTGACCCTTCTGTAAGGGGATGTCCAATTGTCTATAGATGGGCTTTGAGTCTCCACTACACGCCCTGCCCCACCCCCTGCCCCTATTTTTTACTGTCTTGACTTAAATTTTCAAGTCTTACCTTTGATTACATAGTTTTAGTTTTAACTTAATCCAACTTACTGCTCTTTTATATTTTATGGGGCTTTTTGTATTCAGAAAAAGTTTTCCTCCTTTGAAATCACAGACAGTTGTTCAGGTTATAAAGATTTTTTTCCAACGTCTAAATGTTTGTTTAAGGGGCTTTGGAGGCACAGTGGGTTACACGTTGGGCTACTAACCTGAGGGTCAGCAGTTCAAAACCACCAGCCACCCTCTCCAAAGGAGAAAGATGAGGCTTTCTACTCGCATAAAGACATCACTCTCTAAAACCCACAGGAGCAGTTCCACCCTCTCCTGTAGGGATACTTGAGTTGGAATCGACTAGATGGCAGTGAGTGGCTTTGCTTGTTGTTTGAAATAGAATTGAGTGCAGTTATTTATAACAGGATTTACGTTGCAGAGTTTGCAGTCTAGTAGGGGATATAAATGTTTAAAATATAGCTCTCAAATTGATGAATTGATGTGGGGCTGGGGTTGGTGAGTGATTAGGACTATGATTTTACTTTAAAATTAGCTGGTAGTCCCTTCTCCAGTTGAATAGTCCCATCTAGTTGCCTCTCGTTTTTAATGTCACTTATATGCTGAGTTCTCCTGTGGGTTGGTTTTTCTGCTCTCTGTTCTGTTCTTTTGGTCTCTGTGTACCTAAGCGAATGACATACTGCTTAAATTATTCTAACTTTTAAATAGGCCTTGCTATTTAAAACCAGCACCACTCCTACTTTTGTCTTCAGAATTATCTTGACTTTTCTTGAGCTTCTAATCTTCTCTATGGTTTTAGAATCATCTTGGAGAAAACTTAATGGCATTGCATTCAAATTACATATTAATAGATTTTTAGATTAACTCAATGCAATACAGCCACCATCTTCTCATTGTGGACCTCATGAAATTCTCCATTTATTTAACTCTTATCTTTCAGTACAATTGCGATTGTTCCTCATAAAGGAAGCATTGTTGAATTTATTTCTAGGTACATTGGAGATTCGTTTCTATTGTAAATTACATCTATAAACTGTTTTCTAATTATAGCCAATGTACAAATTATCTTTTCTTCATCTAATCTTTATTTGCCTTTGGGGATTGGCAACATTACATACAAACTAACATTTTAGTAATAGATACATAAAACAATACATGCTATTAATTAGTCAGTATGATGAATGACATTTAGAGTTTTATAAGACTAAGCCATCCTTTTAGTCCTGGGCTAAATTCTACCAAGTATGATGGCTTGGGAATTCTCATTTATTCTTTCTTTCTTTCTTTTTAACATTGCTAGGATAACTTGTTATTTAGGACCTTTGTGTGTATGGTCTTAAGTGAAATTCACCCAAAGTTTTTCTTTAAGAAGTTCAGTTTAGCCATAAAGTTATACACATAAAGTGAATTGGTTCAATTTAATTATTTTTCTGTTCATTAGAATTATTTGTAATAATAGATCACCTACTCTTGTAGATTTGATAAAGATTGAGTTTTGCAGTCATATATTATAAAGACTGCCATGAAAAATTAGAGAGCACTGAAAGGATGACCAAGCAGCGTTTTAATATTATCCTCCTACTCAACTCACTAGTGCCGGGCATTACTGCAGAAACTAGTATGCTTAAGATAATAGCTGAGGTGAAATAGCATGAATTTGTGGTCAATGCCCTCTGGTTGTTTAAGGGACGTATTTAATTACTTGGGGGTTCTTATTTATTTTTTAAGCAGTTTATTTGCCTATTTTCCTCCAATTCCTTGTGTTCATACTGAGCCTTATTATAATTAGTGTTGGTGTTCCCTGCAATGCCCTCCCTCCACTTAACCCTTTGTAGGAAAACACCATCAGGTGAATAGATGATGTGCTAGCTCTCCTCTTCTGCTAAGACTCTTATCTACTGAGAATCCTGAGCTCTGCCCGTAGAAGCCCAGGGTTGAAGGACTTTGGGACAGAGACTAGTGAATTATAATGTTCTCTTTCTCACACAGGTGAGATTTCCATGGAAAAGGTGAAGGTGAAACGCTATGTGTCAGGAAAGAGGCCAGACTATGCTCCTATGGAGTCATCGGATGAGGAGGATGAAGAATTTCAGTTCATCAAGAAAGCCAAGGAACAAGAGGCAGAGCCTGAAGAACAGGAAGAAGATTCCTCCAGCGATCCTCGTCTGAGGCGCTTGCAGAACCGTATCAGTGAAGATGTAGAAGAAAGGTAATGACTTTGGCAATATTTTGTTGTACTTGAACCCCTACAGGTTAATTAGTAATAATAACTAAGCCTAGAGCAATACTTACTATGCGCTGGGCACTATACCAAGTATATTATTTTCCTACTTCTAATCCATGCTGTTTCCTTTTATTAAATAGGTGCTATTATCTCTTAAAAATGGGGGACTAAGGCACAGAGGGATTAAATAAATAACATGATGAGAACTGTATAGCTAGTAGGTGGGAGCTTCAGAAAACTGCAGGTGACCTCAGGCCGAAAGGTCCTAATTAATTCGCTAAAGGGCTAGAAAACAGACCATTACTCGATTTGTTGAGATTTGTTTTTTGTTGTTATAAGACATTTTATAAAATTTGAGCAATTGATTTTATCTATCTACTATTTTTAAAGGCTATTGAGAGGAAAGTAGAAGGAAGTAGAAGGAAAGCCAGGTAAATGGTCTCCCAGTAGGAAAGAGAACTTCCCAAAGTATTTCATATTTCATATATTGATTGAGGCACTGCCTTACAGAGTAAACCAGAGGTTCCAAGCTTCTTCACTCTACATTGGCTAAAGAATTTTTTCCTGGAGTCCTTGGCCAGAATATTCCCATTTAATTTAGTCTAGTTGACTATTAAACAACACAGTTTGAACTGTATGGGCTGCTAGCATGTGGACTTTTTTCCCTACTGCCATTGCAGTGAGCTCCAGTGTTGTAAAATGTCTGCTTAAAACACCTTGTGAAGAGGAGAAGCTGATGCCAAGGGCTTAAGTGGAGAGCAAATGTTTTGAGGATGATGAGGGCAGTGAATGTACAAATGTGTTTTACACAATTGATGTATGTATGGATTGTGATGGGACTTGTATGAGCCTCTAATAGAATGATTTTTTTTAAAAAAACACACCTTGTGATGCTAATCATCTCCATGTGAGCACTTATCTGTGCTGGAGAGACCACTCCTCTTGGGGGATGATTAGCATCACTGCATAAGTGGACCGTTCAGTTCAAAGTCAAATTGTTCTGGGATCAATTATAAATTGTAGACTGGTTTTTCAATGAGGGGAGGTGAGCACCCTTCAGTCCATATTGCATATTTCAAGGGTTAACTGTAATCAGATTTAAAAAATTAATTACGTAAGTATTTATGTGTTAACAATATAGTCATTAGGGGAAAAAATACACATAAAAGGACAATTTATTTCATTATTTTCTTAACTTTTACCTTTTTATTGTGAATTGGGTGAAGATTATAGAGCAGGAAAGTTTTCCATGCAACAATTCTTAGGTATTTTGTCTCAGCTCATTGATTGCAAGCTCCACAGTGGAACACTCCTTGTCCCACTTCCACCATGTGTTTTCTGTTTCCACTCTTTATTTTATTCATTAAAAACCACTGTGCTTAGCTAATAGGATTTGTGTACCTATTGGATACAAAGGAGTTGTGGTGGTTCAGTGGTTCAGTGGTACAGTGCTCGGCTGCTATCTGAAATGTCAGTAGTGTGGACCCACCAGCTACTCCATGGGAGAAAGGTGTGGCACGTTGTTTTAGTACAGAGTACAGCCTTGGGAACCTCACAGACAGTTCTGCTCTGCCCTACAAGGTCACTATGAGAGAATCTACTTGCTGTCTGTGGGGTGGGTTGGATTGGGTTTCAAATACTCAAAACTTTGGAATCAGATTGGATACCCCCACTCATTTCCTATGCCGTGTTGGTTTTTATGTACTGCTTGCGTTTTTATCACAGCAGCCACCAAAAAACAGTTTCACGAAAATAAAGCACAATTGAAGGAATGTAGTGTGACTTCATATTGAAATTGTGAGCTTTTTAAAATACTCCAGTGCCACAATAGCCGGCCTTTGTTTACATGGAACAACAGAAAGGAAGATGTGGCATGGAGGACTAATTGCCTCCGTGAAAGACTTGACTGCCTTTTTTTAAAAATCATTTTATTAGGGGCTCATGCAACTCTTATCACAATCCATACATACATCAATTGTGTAAAGTACATTTGTACATTCATTGCCCTCATCCTCAAACATTTGCTCTCCACTTACGCCCCTGGCATCAGCTCCTCTTTTTTTTCCCTCCCTCCCC